AAGGTTCGCCATTCCACTCCTAGACCATGACGTACATGTCTGCGTGTTGAATCCGAGAGCTTGAAGAACCGAAGGGCAAAGGTGTAAATGTTTTACATGATGCAGTGTTCAGTGCAAACTTCAAGAGCGAATCCTATCCTATTAGCCAGCAGCATGCAGCATTTATGCTGACTATGTTATTCAATTATGCAGTAGCCAAGTGCGTGAGTATTATGCTGACGCCCGCCTGCCTGCCTGCCTGTCTGCCCATTCTTTATTTGTGTTGATTTTCTTACAGCTTCCCCTCTGAAAAAGAAAATCTACTTGTCATAACACACACCACGCGTTCTGACATGACCACGGTTCTGCAATGTATGTCAATCTGAAAGCGCATTTTATTTGCGTAACATAAAATGAACTAAGATCTAAAATTAGTCGATCAGGCTTGCGTAGCGGTTATGATTCATGCACAGATTTTCAGCCGACTTCCCGGATATAACACAAATTTTCTGTCAAGAAAAGAATTTCGAGATAATTATTTAAAACAGGTCAAGATCACTTCATTTTCTTCCATACCATTCACTATAATGTAATTGGATGCTATAGACCAGAAGGCTTAAACTCTACACTGTAACCTCATCATCAAAGAAGCTAAGAATTGTGAGATTTGAGGTTCTCACGATGGTGAGTATAAAGATGGCTGTCTTTATTTTGGTTCAAGAGTGGCCGAAATTGAATTGTGACGATGCAGTGCATGAAACAAGAGACCGAAGTACCATTTGAATTTATGTTCTGCCAGAAATTAACAGAATATGCGGAAAGGAAGAACAGAAATATTCTTACCATTAATCCTAAGTACACTGCTTGAATTACCAGATAAACAATTTATCATCACGATTTAGACCTACAACATTTGTTAGAAATTATTTACGATATATGGCGAGTATTTAAGGTAACCGCTTATGAAAAAAATACTAAATCTAACACGATTAGCTGCATTTACAATAAATGAACATCAAAGCTAAAGATTTATGAAATATCGCATTTTGGAGACGGGTTATGTTCATCACCTTCCAAACTGTAGTACATCTCTTCAATTCTTCAATTCTAGCTAAGAAGCAGAACTGGACTCGTACCAATTTCCACTCCAGTGACAGTCTGGTTGTGACACTAGGGTATTGACGTCGTCTAACGCGGCTCACCGACTCCTGAGGGAACATGACGTGACGTATGAAACGCGACTGAACTCTACAATTTGATTCGGCGACATAAAACTGATCGTCGAACAACGTACACATATATGGTGTATAAGCTCAAACTCCCTCTTTTCACTAACTAGTTCAAGCGCAATCAACCTGCCAGAACTTCGCCAATTGTTGAAATATAAAAATATGCAGGGTCTGCTGGTATCACAAATATAAAAAGGTAAAGCTGTCCCACTATACGCCATGTGGGCACGTGGGGGGAGAGCGAAAATAAAGCTGGACTCATTCGTTTCCTTGTCTTTAGATGGAGATAAATTTTTAACTTCAAACACACTGGCCCCTTTACTCTGTAGAAAGTGTCCCTGGTTACCACAGTACCAGTGGTGACTGGAAGAGCCCTAAAGCTGATCTGGATAGTGTGGCAAAGAGAAAAATCCTTGCCTCACACAAATAACTAAACCTCGGTCATAGTAAGCCACTTCCTACCTCTCTTCAAAAACACACAATGGACCGTGATCAAATTCAAAGGCACGTGAATAAAAATGCGACTGCATCAGTGGGTGATTGTATAGGTAATTTAATCAAAATGTCATAGACTACAGTGATAATTTTGAGTGTATGAATGGAGGAAAAGATCACCTGCATCTTTTTGATATATGCCTGAATGCGTTTCTATGATTTAAAAAATTACACTGAAATAAATATCGTCTAACACAATTCTTCCTTGCAGTTCTGGGCAGCGTATGTCCCATGTGAATCCCAGTTCCTGGATGCTGTTCAGTTAACCTTAGAACAGATCGACGTAATCCGACGCCTCACAGAGAAATATCACCCAACACTAATTCTATGCACATCAGTTGCTGGTGAGTGCCAAACACTACCTACAGCATGCTTTAAGATCTTCTTAATACGAATACTTTAATTTTACGCTAAATTATGCTCGCTTCATGTGCACCTCAGGTGAGAGCGAATAATTCTGTTTATAGCCATACTAAAGATCGTAGCTCACCGTAACACTGCATGTTTTCAAACGCAGTGTCACAATGAACTATGTATTTAATATAATTGTTAATTACAGCATTTAGTTCTATTCGCCCATGTTTCATCAGCAGTTCTTCAGACATCACCTGGTGTTACTTACCATTGTGATTAGAACCATTGAAAACAGTAGTTGTTTTGTCGGTCCCCATCCTCATAATGACTCTCCAGAATCCATTTTAATATTTGTTCATACAACTCCCAAGTGGCATCTCATCTTTAGATTTTCTGACTACAATTTTACACGCATTTTTCATCTCCCCTACATGTCCAGGACACTTCATCTTTCTTGATTTGACCATCCTAATAATACTTAGTGAATACCTTCTAAATAATACTTTTCAGACACTTATCATCTCCTTCATGCATGCTATATGTCCAGCTCATCATATCTTTCTTGATTTTATCGCCCTAACAGCATTTAATGATGAGCACAAATTATAAAGGTCCTCATCATGTAATTTTCTCCATCATCCTGTTACTTTTTCTCTCAGATCCACTTGCCCCAGTACCTTGATCTGAAACACCCTCAATCAATGTTCATTTTTTAGAATTAGTTTTCGTGCAACCAAAATTTTAGGTAATAATTCATAACTAGCTCCATGGAGCAGAGTATTTCTTGAGAAGCTAATAATCTGGTCAAGAGGTTTCCCACCTTCAATACAACTCAAAGATTCGTTACCATGTTCAAGCAAGCCTGCCACTGGTCCCCATCCTGAACCAGAGAAATTCAGCCCACATCATTACACCCTATTTCTTTAAGATCCAGCATTATTAACACAAATTGTCACAGACAAGTTTCATCTACACTTGTTATAGATATAAAGGCAGCTCACGCTAATGGACAGCTGTGCAGTCTAATTGGTGTTGAGGGTGGACACTCACTGGCCAGTAGCCTCCCTGTGTTGCGGACACTCTACAGTGTGGGCGTACGATACCTGACACTCACATCCAATTGCAACACACCATGGTAATTATTTCTGGCATTTGTATAAGTGGTCATACATGAGCCCTAAGCAAAAGATTTTTCCCTGTGCTTGGTGTCATTTTCTTTAATTTCCACTGTCAGTAAATTGTTCAGATTATTAACATTAAATGATAGGGTGAATAATTAGTAACAAAATAGAAAGAATTTGAAAGGAAGTGGTTGTGGACAGTTGACAGTATTTCTAGGGTGCTCAATAAATCTACACCATTCAAGAGCCAGTAAACAAAATGTTGGCTCATCAAAGATCAGTGAAGGATAAACAGGTTCTGACACAAAATGGCCATTAAATCTCTAATAGAATATCTAAATAATCACACCAAACTGGAGAACCAATGATAAGCAGCAGCCACATCCTCTAAAAATCAGACGTGGTATCAATTTTGACAAAACTCCTAAGACATAAAACATCAAGACTTACTGAAGCCACTGAAATAATAAAACTCACAGGATTTCAACCATTTAGATGGAGACAAACTCTTTTCTTCAACCTCTCATCTGAACTACCATGCCCTCCCCATCAAACTCCTGTAGAACATCGATTAAGCAGATGGATACAGAATGAGAAAAGAAAGCTTTTTCTCCAAAGTTACATCTCTCATTTCAACTGTTTTCCTTCAATGTTATGTCTCAACTACTGAGCTTTACTCATTAGACAGCATCCACTATGCTGTTCACCCCAACATGTTACCTTCCTCTCCTGCCCCACTCCCTACACAACAGTTTCCCTTTCCTTCCCTCAGCGTCAATTCTCTGTTTCAAAACTGCATCAAACCACAAAGCATTTAAACAGAACACTTACTGCTACTACAAAAAATCCAAACAGACTGATGAACAATACTTATTACTGATTCCAGAAAACCCACCTGAAGTGGAAACATCTTAGGAAATGCAAATTAAGATGAAGATTATTCATGAAGTCATAGGGTCCAAAATGTGGCAATCTTACCAATGCTGCTGTGTGTCCAGAAAATGTAGTATGGTAACATTACTGTCTGACCTTTAGCACAATCTCTTACATTTATCAGATAATTTGTTTGTCCAGCGAACAATTAGAAACGTACTCTGACGAAAGTGAAATGAGAATAAACCGATTTTCGTTATGTTTTCCTCAACTGCAATAACTTTAAATTCCTAGAAACCAATTAACTCCTTTAGATTTGCCAGGGCATATTTCAAAATAATATAATGTTCATTGACAGGGCCGACTCTCTGCTTGTAGATGGCCCTGGCAAGCAACCAGAGCATAATGGACTTACCAGCTTTGGAAAGGTGTGTATGTAATAAAAATAGCATTTCAGTTTGACATTTCTGTTAAGTTTAATTTAAAAATTCATAGTCATCTGTTATTGAAAGTAACAGACTTCATATAGCAGACTCCTTCTTGAGAAGGAGATACTCAACCAGCCAAGACATTCTCCACCATTTATGGGATCCAAATGTCTATTAATGTTTACACATGAGCCCACTATTTCTTCTTATCTTGAGCCAATTAAATCCAGTCCACACACTCATACAATTTTTTTAAGATAAATTTTAAATCCTCCCATATATTGCTACATCTCAAAATTAATCTTGTTCTCTCCAGATTCCATAAAAATTTGTATACACTTTCATGTTTCAATAGGCCCCATTCACCTCATCTTATAGTTAATCACACTAATAGTATTTACTGAAGAACATAAACTTCTCAGTCCTCTTGTACCTGAAACTACAGACTGTATAATTACATCCCAGTGTTATTGCATGCTTCATTTTTGCTTCAGTTCCATAAGTAGCAGGAAAATTGCACATATTAATTATCTATGATTTCAGTTTTTCAAATTTTCTTTCAACATCAGTCCATTAATTTGAATTATTGCAGACTGTGGTTAAGGAGATGAACCGATTGGGAATGTTGGTGGACCTGGCTCATGTAGCAGTGCGTACAATGCAGGCAGCACTGGAAATAAGCCGAGCTCCTGTCATCTTTTCCCATTCTTCTGCCAGAACTCTGTGTAATACTACAAGGAATGTGCCTGATCATGTTCTCAGGCTTGTGGTGAGCACCATAAGAATGTCCCAATTAACATACTGTAATTTTTACATGCACTTTAAGCCACCTTAATAGCATCACTATTTTCAGAATAGAGAAAAGTGGACATGAAAGCGAACAGTATGGCAATCTTGCTTCATGTTTGAGAGTTCTCATGTTCAAACCTCTGTGCAATGATCGGCTATTCTGACATTGTTTGTGGTTTCTCTAAGTCCTTCCAGGAAAATGCTAGGAATTCCGAAAACAAATACAACAATAAATTTGTGTTGCTAGGGTCTGAAGGGTGGACTGGTGATGGTCAACTTCTACTCCCAGTTCCTGACCTGTCAGAATACAGCCACTACAGATGATGCTGTTGGTAAGGCTACTTTCTAATGCACAAAAGTCTGAATGTTACAAACAGTAATATGAAAGATGTGCACAGAATCACTGAGAGATGATGTTGTTACAATAGTAAAAATGAGGTGATATGTTCCTGAGAAATGTTGAAAACCATATACAAGACTACAGGTGTCATAACTCAAAAGAACATGATCTCCCCTACAGAAAAGAGGGAAACTTTTATTTATTTTATTTTGGTTGAAAATTAACTACATGGATGAGAAACAACATTTTGAGAAATGCATATATTCTTTCAAACATGACATCTATATTAAATTGTCATTACAAGTTGATATTTTGTTCATGTGAACTGTGTTGTGTTTGGTATGAAGTCATTAAAGTGGAAATGGTGGAGGAATTTTAAAATCTTTTGTTTAACTGTAAACAGTCCATAATGCACTTATTTATATTCATACGGACCTACTGATCTTAAAATTGGCAAAAAAAAGAAAAGAAAGGTTAATATTACCCAAACATCCTGTGAGGGGTTAGAGAGGGATGTGTTTTGAACACACTAATTTATCCTGACACAACCACATCTTTTGAAGGTGTTTAATTTTTGGCTTGTTTCAGCGCATATTAACCATGTGAGGCGAATAGCTGGAGTGGATAACGTGGGGCTTGGTGCTGGTTATGATGGAATTAATTTGTAAGTAGTAATAATGAACTAATTTAAAGAATGAAAATGCTTTGAATATATTTGTATCATAGGTAAAACACTGGAATTCAAGTAAGTACTTCTACCATCATAATAATATGCAGTGATAAAAACTGAATGGATTCAATTATACAGTTTACAGTATTTCATTTGCTTATGTCTTCAGTCCAGGTAGTTCATCTTCTTAGATCTGAAAATTATCAACTCTTTGTCTTAACATGCTTCTACTTTACATTTAGTAACAATAAAAACAGCCTCATGTCATGACACATTCTCATTTATTTCAACCTGGAAGTGCATGACAGCCCTTCCCAACAATTTTACACCCCTAACTATAATTCACAATACCATTATATTATCAGTGAGAACTATCGTGGTTAACATTTCACAAGAATAATTCACTGTTGCTGTCATTCCAGCACCCCAGAAGGACTGGAGGATGTGTCAACTTACCCCATGCTTTTTACTACTCTAATTGGAACAGGGCAGTGGAGTATAGAAGACCTAAAAAAACTTGCAGGCCTTAATTTCCTCAGAGTAATGCAAGAGGCTGAGAAGGTACTGTACTTAAAATAAATTGAATTAAATTTCTGAGTCAAGTAATGGAATAAGGCTATTTTATTAGTCTCAACAGATACTAATGTGTGTCTACTTTTTGGCTAAACAATTTTAACTAAACTCCATGGTGTAGCATATTACATGGGTAACCAACAAGAGCACAATATTACAACCCTAATGACCACAACTTACATCTTCACTACAATGAGTATCTTAAATCTTAAACAGGAAATTCGAACCAAAAGGTGCATTACCATGTTCATAAGAACCCACCATTCAGCCTCATCCTGAATAAATTGAATTTAGTCCATCTCTCCACATCGTGATTCTGTATATGATCCATTTTAATATTATCCTCCCAGCTACAATACTGTTTCAACATCAATCCTACCCATTTCATGGTGAATTTCTATTATTTTGTGTTCCCCTTTTCCTGAGAGTTATAAATTTCAAACCAAGCAAGCATTTCTTCTTCAGTTAAAAAGTATATTTGCATTTGATAAATCTTAAGAAAACACATGAAAATAAGCCATAACTCATACTGAAATGAAGTTATCTGATTGTTATCTGAAAGGATGTTTTTTAGTAAAGTAGGCTTTCCAATTGTATTACACCAAGATAGTGCCAAATATTGTAAGAACAAAAAGATGTCAATTTCTAGTATTGGGTTCTCTCATTTACTGCATTATCCATTTATGTGCAGGTACGAGACGCAATGCGAGCAGCAGGAGTGGGCCCATATGAGGATGATGATATAAATGCACCTCAAAGACAAAAGAACTGTTCTTCAACAAACCTCTTTTGAGAATTAAACTATATTCATTTAACAGAACAAGATCAAGATCAGATATGAGTCATACCATGAAGTCCTAATTTGGTAATGAGTAAAGGCAGACTCAGACAAGGTTCTCTCATCCAACCACAGTTGTCGCAGAAACATAATTCTCATAGTATTATAACCCGAAAGACAGCCATCTTCAAACAGTTCCTTGTTGAATTTAAAATGGCAATTAAATTATCAGGGAACAGTGACATCAAATGGCGCTGCAAAAGGATCAACTATTAAGATGAATGATAATTATGTTACAAGTTCATTTTCACACTTCTACAAGTTATTTTAGTTTAAATTACAGAACCACTGTAACCATGTGAAACATTGAACAAGTAAAACCTATCTAAAATGCTACATGGAATTAGAGGCCTGGGTTTATAAAATCCTTCTCTGGTCCAAAGAATAAAGTGTGAACGCTATTGTAAAATTACCCGTAATAAACCGACACTGTGTTATGTGAAGGCGGAAAAGAGTCTGATAGATTATTTACTGCTTTCTGCTGATATGATTTTCTTTTGGTCTATGCTGCCTGGAATTTATTCCAGAAGGAACATTTCTATCATGAGTGGGAAACAATTCAGCTTAATGATGAACAAAATATGATCAGAATACTTTAATGGACTACAATTAGCCATCAGAAAGAAATAAAACTGAAATCCAGATTACCTTGAAATAGTGTAGTGTTCATGTGTTGCAAGAATTTTTGGACTGTGATGGCAACATGAAGTCTATATGGAGACTGTTCTGTGCAACACTGTTTTTCAACAATAAGTACCTAAATTATGTACAAAATTATTAGGATAATTTTTAATTGCAACTATTTCCATGATGATGTGTCATGGTAATAATATTCACTCAATAATCACTTCTGTAACAGATGTTAAAAAAACATCAGGTGTTGGGACCTACATCATAGGCTAAGTACTGGCTACCACATGGTCAAGAACTTGAAAACACTTTACTCCAATACACATTTTATGGACAGCTTGAAACAAAAAGGCAGTGGCAATAGATTATATACATCAAACATTATGAACGCTAATGTAAAATAATTATAAACTTCTGCAGCTTACTTAATTTCTTGCATTACAATTCATTAATATGGAAACAAAACAAGTTCTGCACTGTGGACAAATAGTGAGAGGCAAGTCCTCCAGGTTTGCGGTTGGTCGCAAGGGTAACAACCTTGCACCGTAAAAATGAAGATGTTTCGAAACCTCAATCATAGCCTTGGACAGACGGACCTAACAGAGAACCGAATGGAAGAGGAGAATTGAAGAGGCCATGGACCGAATACGGACCGAACAGCCATAGAAAAAAAAGTGTAACTAAGACTTACTCAACAGTAAATTGAGCTTTTACACTGTTTGCAGTTTATTTATTGTTGACACAATGCTTTTCTATTTGTTAAGTACTACTTTGACAAAAGAAGTCTGTTTTTAATAAATATCACCTTAGATTTATTTTCTTATTAGATCTTTACTGCAGCTTAAGTTTATATGCACTGGAGAGCAAATGAGAACAATAAAATGTTCACTACCAACACACAAGTGAAATATCTTTGATTTGAGGTTCTAACAGCAGTAAAAATGTCTTCAAGAAACAAAATGAAAAGAGAAAATCCAAGTTGCATGACAATTCTTGTGATCACAAATACGTATCCGTTAGACATTTGTATGTAAATAATTCCACAACATTATTAGAAATAACACATAGAATAATACTACTGACAGAGGTAATCAACTAAAAACATATCACACCATCTATAATCATGATTTATTTGTATGCTATTTTGTTAACGATACATTGCATTAAAAACCTTTTCAAATAAAACTTCAGATCCCAATAACAATCTATGTTTTATAGCCCTTACCAAAGTTTTTATTATGAACATTTCAAAGAAGTTTAATTGGAACTTCATGTGAAATATGCGTTCTAGGAGATTGAAACATGTAAAAATTAAGTTTAATTCCATTACTTAGCATAAGTCCCCAGCACTAAAACATATGGACAGACATAACTTCTTCATTATGTATTCATTTCATACACTTTAAGTAATGGCATAAAAATGACATTAATAGTTGCAATTATCTTGTATTTTTATACCTATCTCCTTAGTTTTGAGCGACGTGAGTCATACTGGTATAAAAAATAGGAAATACAATTGAGTTGGTGAAGTATAAAACAATATTCTGCCAGTGGATTTTACCTAACTGAACATCTGACATGAAAACTTGAAACTGGACATGACCCTGAGCCAGATGCATCCATCTTTCAATCCCACAACCCATGGTCCTAAAAATCCATTTTAATGTTATTTTTCCATATCTGTTTCAGTCTTCCAAGTGGCTGTTCCCAGCCAAAATCCTATATTCATTCTTCCTTGCCCTCTGATTTACATACATAGAATATCACAGCCTCTTAAAGTTTTCTATCCTAACAATACCCAGTGTCATATATAAATCACCAAGTTCCTTGTTATATAATAATTTATAATTTAATTAAATATATATAAAAATACTTTTAAATTAATTTTTAAAAATATATGTAAAATCAATAACAAAATAATCTGACTATGTAAACAGCCATAGAAAAAAAAGTGTAACTAAGACTTACTCAACAGTAAATTGAGCTTTTACACTGTTTGCAGTTTATTTATTGTTGACACAATGCTTTTCTATTTGTTAAGTACTACTTTGACAAAAGAAGTCTGTTTTTAATAAATATCACCTTAGATTTATTTTCTTATTAGATCTTTACTGCAGCTTAAGTTTATATGCACTGGAGAGCAAATGAGAACAATAAAATGTTCACTACCAACACACAAGTGAAATATCTTTGATTTGAGGTTCTAACAGCAGTAAAAATGTCTTCAAGAAACAAAATGAAAAGAGAAAATCCAAGTTGCATGACAATTCTTGTGATCACAAATACGTATCCGTTAGACATTTGTATGTAAATAATTCCACAACATTATTAGAAATAACACATAGAATAATACTACTGACAGAGGTAATCAACTAAAAACATATCACACCATCTATAATCATGATTTATTTGTATGCTATTTTGTTAACGATACATTGCATTAAAAACCTTTTCAAATAAAACTTCAGATCCCAATAACAATCTATGTTTTATAGCCCTTACCAAAGTTTTTATTATGAACATTTCAAAGAAGTTTAATTGGAACTTCATGTGAAATATGCGTTCTAGGAGATTGAAACATGTAAAAATTAAGTTTAATTCCATTACTTAGCATAAGTCCCCAGCACTAAAACATATGGACAGACATAACTTCTTCATTATGTATTCATTTCATACACTTTAAGTAATGGCATAAAAATGACATTAATAGTTGCAATTATCTTGTATTTTTATACCTATCTCCTTAGTTTTGAGCGACGTGAGTCATACTGGTATAAAAAATAGGAAATACAATTGAGTTGGTGAAGTATAAAACAATATTCTGCCAGTGGATTTTACCTAACTGAACATCTGACATGAAAACTTGAAACTGGACATGACCCTGAGCCAGATGCATCCATCTTTCAATCCCACAACCCATGGTCCTAAAAATCCATTTTAATGTTATTTTTCCATATCTGTTTCAGTCTTCCAAGTGGCTGTTCCCAGCCAAAATCCTATATTCATTCTTCCTTGCCCTCTGATTTACATACATAGAATATCACAGCCTCTTAAAGTTTTCTATCCTAACAATACCCAGTGTCATATATAAATCACCAAGTTCCTTGTTATATAATAATTTATAATTTAATTAAATATATATAAAAATACTTTTAAATTAATTTTTAAAAATATATGTAAAATCAATAACAAAATAATCTGACTATGTATGAGACAAGGGAAAGAAGATATATGATCTTAAGGTTGTAAAAGGAAAGCAATTCGCACTTAACATTTTACATAACAGGAAGGCTTACTTGCGGATTAGCAGTTTATTTGAGATGAAACAAACGGATTCCTGCACAGCAATATATTTACATTTAAATCACTACATTTGAAAACACAGGTGATCTAAACTGTTTTGACATTAAGTGTAAACTCTTTATATTTATTAAGCAAACAGGTGTATCTTGCTAAGACCAAATCTCCTATGTTGTATGAAGTTTCATAAATAAATTCTAATATCCACAAAAAAGTATGATTCTGTTTTAACTACAATAAAATGTTGGATACGCCATCCTTATAATAACTTTTAAGGTAATCAACGATACAGTTATTCCTTGGGATTACTAAATTCTGGGACTCTGACCTTCAACTGTTAAACAAAATAACACGTTTTGGAAACTGGACCTTTTCCCACCCCTAAATAAAAAGATATAAATTATATAGTTATTCCTGTAAAACATGGTACAGAACAATTACATTTTGCTTTTACAACTAGAATTTGTTAATGCAAACACTCTCAGAATATAATCAACAAGCGCAGGAAAAATAACCTAAACACTGCAATGAACCTTCCCCTACTCGACAATCCTGTCTGAGCATGTGTCGCGTAATAATTATTTTCTGTTTTTACTATTATTTCAACAAATTGGCCTACCCCACAGTGAAAGTCCATCATAATGGAGTTCATAATATTAAAGGCGGGTTGTAATGAAATCATATTGTGATTATACAAAGTTGTTTGATGTACATTAATTTTCCATGATATTAATATTTCATGTGATTCTTTGTATTTGATATAACTTTGGATGTAAAGTGTAATGAGACAGAAGCAAATTGAGTTTGGTAATGAGCACTGATAATCTCACATACATGATTATTACATTTAATAGAACAAAAATAACATAGCGGATATAAATTAAATAAGCTTACTATAACCTAACATAATCAGTCACCAAATTCCGAAATAAAGAAGGTAAACCTAAACATATACTAAAATAAATTCACTAGTAAAATTACGAGCATTCGGAACTTCCGCGAATAGTGTGGAGGATGCGTGAAAACATCGTGCAAACAAACGATTTCAATTAGAATGTAAATAGAAAACTGATTGCATATAACTCACCTTGCCGCGTTGAGCACCTGCCGATTGTCACAGTTCGGTCACATTTTATATTAAAGACCTGCCGCTAACGAACTGTATCGTGTAGCGAGTAAAACAGCGGCACATGTAACGCACAGCACTGGGTCCAATTCACAGGTGTCAGCAGAATTTACTTTCTTATTCCTTCCCGGCGTTTGGTTATTTTTCTATATCGAATGCTGCAGAGCTCGCCAATTTAACTCTTAACTAACATACGTCTCGTCACACGACGAAATGATTTCAAACTTCTTAGCCAAGCCGAAGTACGTGAAACTTCTTAAAACTACCATTCATAAATTGCGCTTACCCATGACCCGATGTTCAAAATACACTAAAATCTAGAAACTTTTCGTTTGCATTATGGTCCTGACGTCAGTACATCCTCCCTACCTGGGCCCATGATCAGCCAAAGACGGAAAGGAAGGATAGGTTCATTTCATACACATCGAAGTTCAGGATGTAGAACAAGTCAATGTGCAATACTTCATAAACACACAAAACACAATACACCTAACGACACGTCCTAAAAACAAGGCAGGCGCAGAAAAAACGGGGGCACGAAACCAAGAAACCAACTTAAGCACTTCGTGAAAAATTGCTTCCTTTTATGCGCTTTCGTCTGTCTGCACAACTCAAGGGCAGATTTTCATAATGTTTAGTACTGGAGATTTTGACTAAAAATTACCCAGCCATATTCATGTACATCAAACAATTTAATGACCATGTATGTCTTCTAGGATGTACCAACGTTTCAGAGGTACTTGCTGTCTCCATCATCAGGGTGCCCTGAGGCAGCAAGGTATTAAGTATTAGCAATTCTATATGATGGTGGACCAGCCTGTTCCAGTCATGGCTAACGTAGCAAACATACATATGTTGGTCTGACTTTTAACTTTGATGTGTATTACATACATCAAGCATCAATCTGATACAAACAGGCACACAAACAAATAATGGACAAAATGCAGGTGGGACCTGTAGACAAACAAAGAATCATGGGTGAAACTTGCAGGTCAGGATTTGTGTTTTAAATGACCGCTCGTAAAACATGGTCCTTTCTGAGAAAAAAAGATCGTGTAACTACAAGAAAATCTTCTCAGTCCATATAATGCTAAAGATGTCAAGAATGTTGAATTACTTTTCGTCATTTTCGTACCTTAATGACAATCCTCTATGAATTCACAGATGGTTCTAACTTCATAAGGTGGCAGATCTTACAGGGAAACTACACCATGCACTTCATACCACCTGCAGACAACAGTAACATTTGCAGACAAAATTTTCAATTTCAGTTTCTTTGCACAAGTGTCTCATGCTGTTACGCCATACTCCTGCACACTGTGGTCTCCCAGGCATGTCAGGATTCATATATAAGACGCTGGTAGTGAGGGAATACTTCCCAGGTTGGCAAATGCAGCCCAAATTCTAATGCTACAAGGACAGCAAATTCAGATGCAAGAAGGTCTTTTCGGTTCAGCCGGAACACACTCTCTGTCCTCTGCAAAAATATCCAACTTAATTACAATCTAATTAATTATATGTTTACTTTGTAATGCAGTTACAATGTAAGATTTGAGGTTTTCACAGGGGTGAGTATGAAGATTTCTGTCTTCTGGGTTGTTGCGCTGTGTAGTCTGGTCAATGTTAACCAACGTATCCTCTCCACAAAAACCGACTACATGGATTGGATAATCAGGGAAGCCAATGAGATCTAATTACATCCCGATAACTTCAACAGGGAAGATGGACTTCACCTGAGCCAGTCATGGAAACCTCTTATTCACACTCTTCGAGGGCTCCGAGAGTGATCTAGAGTGCTCCGCCAGAACCAACCAGACCACTAACCTTGCCCTTTTCAGGGCCCCGATCACATTCAACCGAACTCTCGATGTCCCACCGGACGCACTTCCCAAGCCCCCCTCTTTTTTCCTTTCTCTCCCTCTCTCACACTCGCCCATGCGCTCCTATTGGTCCACTCCCACGCCTGCTCTCATTGGCTCGGGGCAGGCTACTCTATTCACAGTCCGGCTCCTATAAACCTAGCCCCACACACCCTATTGGCATATTTATCACCCTGATGATGGAGGCAGTATGACCTCTGAAACGTTGGTTAAGATCGACCAGACTACACAGCGCCACAACCCGGAAGACAGAAATCTTCATACTCACCGCTGTGAAAACCTCAAATCTTACAAACCATAAGTAGTTTTAGCTAAAGCATATCATGTTTAGAAGAATGGAAGGTTTTTTCAAATCTAAGATGACACTACTGAGAAACATGTTTCCATAAAAAATTAATTTTACATATTAATTTCACATATTTAGTATAAACATGCAAAAACTAATAAATATTGAGTAAAGTTTTCTTCTTTGTGATCATTATCCAGTTTCACCAATCTGTGATTAAACAATGTTTTGACTTAAACCTAACTATTCTAAGATTCAAACATGAAGGTGGGTGAGTGACAGTCACATTGAGAGAAACGACGCCACATAAGGTTACAATGTTCCATTCAAACTTAACTGTCATATGCTCTGCAGTGCAGTCTTCTGCCAACAACACTGTCCACAGATCCACTGTTCTCCTCCTCTCATCTGACATAATCAAACACATTAAAAACTAATCTAATCAGTCTGTAAACAAATCTGATGCTTGGGACCCTCCATTTTTAAAAATAAAGGACAACCACCTGAAACACTTTATATTCAAGAAAACATTATTTTAAGTTGTGAATATAATTTCACAAGTACTGGTACTATTGTTGAAGACAAATTTATATGTTAATTTTCACCACTTGACACTTCTTGCTAGCAAGAAAAGCCGTCGGTCATCTTGTTTGAATTCTACAAAAAATATATTACTTCCATATGTATATACCACAAACAACGCAAATAAATTTTGTCAGTATTTAAGGATCTTATTCCCGAGGTCATTCCCAGTCAAAAATGCAATGTGAATACGAGTCCTGTATGGGCAAAAGTCCATACTGCCAAATAATTACTTTAGGGTAAGACTATTCATCGTACTTTTATTTACACTGAAACTCACAGATTTTCTGCAATGGTTTGAGGCTACAGTATCCAGCCATTGCAGTGATGAACTGAGAATGACTGACCTGACATTGAAGTTCAAATAAATTTGCCACTGGTCACTTCAATGATGAGCAACTCCAAATTACACACTCTTCTACCTTGCATATTTATAACATGTGATCAACAGTGTTAAAAACAAATATAGTCCAGTTTCTAAATGACATCTGGCAGGGAGCAGAGGAAGAAAAACAAGCTGAGACACAACAGAGCACCACTGATACAATAAATATTTACAACAGACTGCAACCTGGTATGACAAGCTCTGGAACAGGAAGATGATTGTGCCTTGCAGCACAAAAACTTCTCTTTCTCAGATTGTACAGGAAGTACTGAAATGGACCACTCATTATCTGACTTTCTTTTACACATTAGTTTTAAAGATCTTGTACTGTACCTCAATGAGAGCCTTGAGGGGCTCTCCCTTGACATCATTAAGTTTTGCTGACAACAGGAGGCAGGCACCTGCGCACAGCTTGCGGTTTTCCTTGTTGATCATATTGCGAAGGATCAATTTCTCAAAGTAAACATATGCCTGTGCAACGGTAAGAAGATCCACGGGTCCATCTTGTTGCTGGCGTGCAATTTTTCGCAACTCCCGCTTGAGGCTTCTCAACTTACTTAAAGTCAGCTTAACTGAAGGAAACTTGGCACGAAACTTGTCATTTAACTCCTTCTTTAAGTCTGATGGGCGAACATAGTCAATAACAGAAGTCTGCAAGTGAAGCAGTACCATAAATAGCATAAGAGAGAAAAGAATAATTAATTATTCAATCACGGTTCATTCTCCTTTTTGATTAACTAGTCAATAAGCATCAACTATGAAAATTTATTTTAAAGTTTTGAAGTCTAGAATTAGTTTAATTTTCTGATGATGACATGGGAAAAGTCTGATAATTCTGACTACACACAAACTTGACTATCAAAACTATTTCAGAATATGCTCACACAATTTTGTATCTCACCTAATTTTTATAGATTTTCCATACCCTTAACAATTAAAACTAGCACAGCATTTAATATAGAATGGTTTATTCCTTATTGCTGTTTGTCCGACAATGTGATGCCACAAGTCACTGGTTTCTCTCAGCGAAGAAAATCATACACTACTACACAATTTAACTGAATGTTTCATCTGTACTTTAAAAAATATTTTCAGTAAAAACCATTACTCATGCATTAACACAAACAGGTTGCCACCATGAAAAGAAGTTCACAGTTACTTTCCATGAACCACGGCATGTTTATTTTTGCAGCAGGTAAGCTACGAACACCGTTTGTGTTTGTGCTGAACCATGGTTAAGAATTACACTTATATTCCCCGCAAAAAAACACAATGTCACACATAGCAGAAAAATCAATGCGAGCTCTACAGTACTTTTGGACTACGGTTTTCATGTTCCCTGAACCTGAATATGTGATTTTTTATCTCTGGGGAAACTTCAAACAGAAGGCCTACACACATAACCCATGTCCCTCAGAGGCTTTACAGCCTGAAATCTGGATATTATTCTAGAGATAACAAAAGGAGAAACTTCAATCTGTCACAGAATCTCTTCTTCTTCTTCTTCTATGACTCTCTGGTCCGTATTCGGTCCATGGCCTCCTCAATTCTCCTCTTCCATTCGGTCCTATCCTCCGCTGCTCTGTTAGGTCCGTCTGTCCGAGGCTTTCATCGAGGTTTCGAAACATCTTCCTTTTTACGGTGCAAGGTTGTTAGCCTTGCAACCAACCCCCAACCTGGAGGACCAGGGTACCTGTCTTAGTTTGACCTCTCCCCCTCGACCAATCTGGCTAGAGAGGCCCTACCAGTAGCTATGCTACCGCCAACATAGCTCTTGGGGTCACTGAGGTACTCAAGCCCCACCACCACGACAAGGTGCAGGTACCATTAAGTGGGGCACAGAATCTGTTATATTGTGTGAAATGAGCATGGACATTTATGGACACCACCTTTATCTCTTACTGTAATATCAAGTAAGTAAAGTATTATTACTGAAAACATTTTAAACGTGGATGGCGTTTCCAGTTACATCACAAGGTAGTCAACTTCAAATAATATTTTCACCAAGCCAAACGTTCGTATTCAACATTGTTCAACTAACCTCTCCAGACCCTATCACTTACAACAAAATTACACTGATTTTACATCATCTCTTGCTAACAAAACCCGTGAACTGGAGCCATGATACAGCAGGAACACTGCCCAAACATACTGTACGGTCTATGGAAGTATCACCAGGAAGGAAACCCTAAATCTTGTGAGTGGCAGATTAGATTAAAATGGTGAGCATAAACAATACTTTCACTGAAACCAGTTTTTTTTTATATCCAGTACACACCATTCAGCATGGTGTGCATTGGTGGTTAGCAGGATTCACGACCCATCAGTACATGGGTTCGACCGGGACCGCGACATTTAATGCTCCTGCTGTGACCCCCGTTTTGCGAGATGATGATGATGAAAGTGGAGTAATTGTTGGGATGCCACGGAGAAACCGGGGAAACCCCGGAGGAAAACTCCGTGATGCCTGGACCACGGCCTTGCCCAAAACAAGTTGTAAATCTGAGCACTGCCGGGAATCAAACCCGAGACCTCAGTATTACAAGCCCAGCGTTCTAACCGCTAGACCACCATGGTGGTTACTGTAACCAGCGTGCCTCCATAACTGATTAAACTTCAAACAATCTTGCTCTCTCAATAATAAAGTTATGAAGGAGCTTCGAAATAACACATATCTGAGTCCAGCATGTGCACGGCCATTTCCTTTTATTCAGACCTGTACTGTAAGTGAAATTTCCTATTATCCTAAGTTTGAATAAGTCTCTTGTCAATGCACCTGCAGCAAGTCTTAACTGGTTAGTGTTTAACTGCAGCAGTTCCATAATTCAGTTCTTCAAAAGTAATTAAATGAAAGACTGGATGTTTCTGTCCAGTAGCGGACTTCCAGTGTTAAGTCCTAAGAACAAAAATGTAAATTCACCCAGGACAGTTTTTTGAGCGTTTAGGTTGGGCGAGGGATAACACATGGTACGAAACTATTCCTTTAAATGTACCAAATATACTGTGCCAACTTTAACAACTTCACCAAAGTGATAAAATAAATACTGTTGCAACTCGAACCCAAACGAGGCAACCTCTTTTTTAAATAAATTAAAAATACAACATTTTCTATTTTAAATCACAGGCATGACGTAACCACAATAACTGACTGACCATATAAGATGTGAATGTCAGCAGAGTTCGGTGTTTGCCTGCAATTAGCTCTGGGTCATCCAGAAGGTTAGGCACATACTGCAGGCCAAGAGTTGCGTCATCCCATTCAAAACTAGTTCCACTGCCTGTGGGTCCAGCTGGTTTGTTTTCATACAGTATTGTGGATGTGGTTGGCGGAGAGCCACAGTGAGCAGAGCCGCGATAGCCTGGCACATCATATGAGAAACACCTGTAATTAAAAAATTTTACACTGAAATTGTATAGAATATGCACATATATTTTACCATACATGGCAGACAGAGATATTATCGCAGTCAAAGTTATAAGCTAAGTATCAAACCAAAATACCAAAATCATACTTACATAACTATGCAGAAGATGTCTTTCTGCCAGTGAACTTCAATGACACTGTGAATCCATCCTCGGTGCATGGTGAAAACCAAGGTGAAATTTCTATACATAAAAAAAACACGCTACCTGGCAACGAAATGATGTTTGAAGCCAGCAATGTCAGGAGCTTCATCTGACACCATTTTGCGGTCACGAACCAGAAACTGACGTGATGGCACCAACAGTTGCCCATATGATATCTCCTGCAAAATAGTGTCATTACAAATTATTAATGATTTATAATACAGTAAATATCAATACAAATATGAGCATAACAAAATAATAAGGGTGAGATATAAACATCTCTTGTACCACAAACAAGAACTATTATGGTTCCCCAACTGATTAACCTGTTAGTGTACTGCACATGTGGTTAATAACTCTAGTCTGGTGAGCACTTTGGGTTCATGAAGTGAGCTTATAAATGACAATGTCCAAGGATCACAATTACATCACATATCTTGGGAAGTTTCCTTCTTATTCATACACCTGATGTGAACAGGAATATCTACTGAACCCAGTTGAAATAAATACTCCCTTAAGTGACTGTGTCCTTAATAAAATTATTACACGTATTAAGTGATTATTGGTTAATCATAATAGTTCCCTAGTCTGTTCTGTAATGGTACTTTGAATGAAGGACTACACAATGTCCAAAATCAATCTGTGTAAAACAATCATTAATCACTCACACTGAAAAAACAATGCTCAGATATAAACAGAGCAACAAACCTGTCCATCCTGCCCTTTTTCTAAACCAAGCAGATCAAAAGGATCAATCCCATCACTGATTGCTGACAAAGGACGTGGCCCCGATGTATGCCGCCGCCTTCCGCTCTCCTTCCTTAGGTCATTCCTGACACATTCCATGAAATCACAAAATGAAACTGGGATCAGAAGAATGTACATTACTTACAAATATAATTAATTAAAAATCGATGGCAATGAAAATCATACTTTTGTGTGTACAAAAAAGCAGAGCAAACATCAAGTTATAAGACTTAAATCTCAATCACAACTAAAATCATAGATAGGGAAATGGTCACACTGAGTTAGGCCTCTTTGGAAAGCAGCATGGCAACATCCTGTTTACGTTACCTTGTTTCAAACTTTGATATCATTATCAATCACCACACAATAAACTTTGAAATGGATGACAATCAATGAAACTGTTCAGGAATTACTCATTAACACAAGTTAAAATGTATGATCAGAAGCTTTCATGGTGATTAAGTATGATGAATTCTTCTTGGGTTACCAGCAGTGTCCAGTAGTTGAATGGGGAAAACACAAATGTTTTGAGAACCATTTGCATCCTCATTTGAACTTTAGTACACTGAGGATGAGGACGAAGATGGTGTTTTCTCCATTCAACCACCTGACACAATTGGCAGCCCGAGAAGAATTCGTTATACAAGGTAAAATCTTGAGCCAATTCACATAAATGGCTTACTGAATAGGTTTTCTAATGTCCACTGGCAAGAGGCATGCCAGGCTGCAAGTAGTAATGTTCCAAAACACACTATAATTAGAAATGATTGAAACATGCAAGTGTTTTCTTGAAATAATATAATAGCATCAAGTTTTTGCTTTCTATTGTAATGTGGCACAGATTCTGTCTGAGAATCATAACTTTTGGCAGGCATAAGCTAGGACAAATTTGATTGTACAGAACTGTTCCATCTTCTATTAGTCTTACACAAGGAGAGCCTATATCATATTTTGAATAATAACTAAATAAATATATATACATTCACCTGTTGGACCGGCAGCCCTTGTTGTATGGTAATGTAGAAAATATAAGAAAGGGCACATGTCTGGCAGATACAAGCAACAACCGCTCATCTTGAAAATGATGTCCTCTTGTAGGGCGGACAAAACGAACTTCCTTGCATGGTGGAGAGGCCACCTCTGGGATAATTTTATTGCGACCTACTGTTGACCCCAAACTTTCGCTGCTACTGAAATTGTGGTAGTACTTGTCTTCAACTAGAGATGACTGATGATGCAAGAATTTACGTTTCTGACCCCCAGACCCAAACCTTCGGTCCAGACCACCATGATCGCTCCCTGAAGTATTTGCTCTCTCTCGAAACGAACTTGTTATACTGCTCAAATTTCTTTGCAGCACTTGTGCATCCTGATCAAATACCTTAGAGGTTGTTGTTGTTGTTTCACTAGGATTTGAATCAGAACTGTTTGATTCATGATCTGGAGACTTTTCATTCTCCTGAAGTGATCTCTGTCCCTTTTTAATTGTCCTAAGAGATTCTGTAGTGTTAACTACATCAAGGTCCTTACTTTTCCAACTCTCAAAATCACCTTCATAAGGACATTCCACATTACATTCCCGTCCCAGTCTGTTTTCGTGTGCCCCTTTCTCAAATGACGCATTTCGGGTGTAGAACGCAAATCTGGTATCTCTGTAAGTACCATCTAAAGAAATGTTGGACAAAAACGTTAAAGCAGCTATTCTACGCCTAGAACGATTTCTTTTTATAGACGTCGCCATCTACAAGGCCTAGAATGTTATTCTTCATATAGGGTCATACTAATAATCGATGTCATATCATGTCAACCGTACTACTATTTGGCAGAAACTAAAATAAAAAATGTAACTCAGGAATAGCTTTATAATGAGTTACAGAACCATTGAATTGCCAACAACTGCACAAACTGCTCAAGGCCATCTCCAACCTAACCTTTCCCTGCAAAACTTGTCTGCGTCACAGATTATTTAACCTGAGATTGATTCCCTGCATAGACTTAAAATATCCCTTTCATTGAATAAGTTCCCGACACGTTAACCATAGAGATGCGAATATGACGTGAAAACAATATAAACAATAGAGTTATATATCACTTCAATCATATAACATAAACTACATAATACGAATACACCCCAACTCAGTTTTATGGCTACTATTGTCAACAGGCATGAAGAGAGTGTTCTGCCATCTGTCAGGTAGGTGCTTAATATATCGAGAGCGGTAGCTCAATCGATAACGAGGTTTATTACATCTTTATTACATTCCATGGATCCATAAGTTAGTCAGATGACAATAGTATGTGTAAAAAGTCATAATAATGCCATATATATATATATTTTACATACATTACAAGTACAATTCATACTATGTAAATATTTAACATATTATAAACAAAGAGTTCATAGAAGCAGTAAGTGTTATGTTAAAGATACATCACCCATGACACAATAAATAAATTATATTACATAAAGACAAGAAAACCTTAATGAACATTATGAATTATTTGTAAACATTACAAATTCATCTACAGAGTATGCAATCAACTATTTTTAATGCTACTTTAAATTGTGTTTTTTCATTTATAAGACTTGATGTTAGACTGCTGAAAATTTTGATGTCTGCATAATATGCACCCTTCTGAAATGATGTTGGAAATTGGTCTATGAAGGTGATCCTTATTCGTTGTATTGACGCTGTGTTACTACTGTGTTAAGTGTGTTAGTTACTATTCGAGCACATGCAAACATTTTCTTATTTGTCTCAAAACTGATACTTTAAACAGCGTAAACAATTAATTTATTAATTTTACGATTTTAACTGGTATAACTTTTTGACTATAGTCTTGAAGTATATGAGTACCTGACCCTTTCAAAATAATACCTGCCAAATGTTATTGTGCTATGATTAGGCTCTTACTCTGTTAGGACAGTTCTGTACAGCAGGAAACAAATTCTCAGAGTTAGTCCTGAGTAGTAACTGTTTTAGTTGATCAGAAACTAAGTAAGATGAAAGAACAGTGCCAAGAGCAAATAAGTTTGTTTCAATAAGGAGGTTACAGGACAAAGTACATAACCCTGAAAATCTGTCCTGAGTTCAAGTCCTAGTTACGATGGTTTCTGTAGCTTGGTAACCAAGCACAAAAGAAGAAGGGAAGAACAAATTTGTTTGTTTCAGCAAGGAGATTACAGGAGTAAAGATTACAAACTCAAAAATTATACTGTGTTTGAATCCCAAATACGATGTTGAGTCAAGGAAATATTTCTTTGCTGCTATTCAATGATATATATCAAATGATGAAGAATACAATAAGAATTCAAGTAACAAAGACTGAGAAAAAATATACGCATTTTGTCAAATTTTAAAATTAAAAATTTCGAAACATCAAGAATATCAGATATGTTAACATATGTGTTTTGTACAGGTCTAAGATCAAACATGATCAAATATCCCCTCTTATCGGTTAAGAGTCAATAATTCACCCAGTAGTCAGGGCAGCAGTTTACAATGTGCTGAGTGGTATGTAACTACCCACTTTGTATGGGAGAGTTGGTACGCCTTCCTGCACAAAATATTGATCTATCGTGTTCGCGTTTTAGTTGCACGTCATTTGTTTCTGTCGATTTTGACGACAATTATAGCGCTATTAGTCAAAGTTCTCTTGTGTGACACTACACTAATAACCCAGTTTTCTTCCTTCTATTTGATGTGCACGAATCAATAAGAATGAACAAACATGCGAGTAAGATTACCTACCATTTTAATGCAGGTACAAACAGATTACGACTTCCTGATAGGGAAGCTAACTACTCACCTACTAATAATGGTTACGTCTAGAATACGTGGTGTTTCACCTCCGCATTCCTTTCGTGTTCCAGTCACAGTTCTTAGGCACATAAGCATTTTTTATTAAATATCCCACTTTTCTAGTACTCGTATAAAAAGTAGGCATAGGCATGCAGAAAGATTAAAGGATTGCTAGGAAGCATTTCGTTATGTTTAAAAAGTGCGCGTAGTAGCATATTGTAAGATAACAATTATGCACTTTCTTAAGAAACCAAATAAAATAACGAAAAGCACAAGTAGCTGATTCCGGGTATAAATTCCAAATTTTTAAACACAAATTTCCAACGATTTAACTCTTTGTAACTTTGGGTTGAAGATGAGGGAATGTGCCATAGCTCCGGCGGCTAGACGCGCTGGACCGCGGAGGTCCTGATTTAATTAATGAACGGTGCTTTCAGTGCGATCAGTGGCGGACCAAGTGTCACTGGGAGATAATTTTCTCAGAGCCCTTTCATTTTCCTCTGTTAATAATCGTCATCCCACCATTGCGTCATTGCGTCCCATGATATGTGCAATAGCCCTGATCAAGCGGCACTATATAGTACCCTCGTTTAAAGACAATTATTAATCCTGATACTGGAGTTCTGTCATCCCTTTCGGGTTTCAAGATGGTAGCAGCATTTTCCTCCGAATAACAGGACTACGCGGGGCGACAACCCAGAGACGCGTCACAATCTAAATCCATACAAAAATGAAAATTCCATCAACTATTTTACCGAGTTACTTCAGACATTATACTGGACACTGTCCTTCGTCTAAGGTTTATAAAAATGGGCTAAAATAACTACAAAATACGAAATACAAGGCACAATAATACATGTTGATCTCTCTCGTCACTACATAAAAACCCCGTACGTGTAAATGCTTAGGCTACACAGCAAAAGCAGGAAGCAATAAACTCCTATGTATTGATTTTTTCCCTATATGCAATGTCCAAGAGCTCTTGTTTTGTACTTGTGGAGTTCCCCCCCCCCCACTCAACCCCGAAGGGGAATACCGGGTAAAGTTTATGCATTTTCGATCGAAGTCAATTTTGTCTCAAAACTACAAGGAATATTTTTATGCAATGACAATTTATTGCAAGTTACACACAAAATGAAGAAAATTTTTACCAGCTGTCAGTCAAGCGTCAAAGCCAAATTAAACAGATCCAGTTTACTTACAAAATACACAGTTTAACTCAGATCCTAAAATTCACTGTTCAAGATGATGCGAGCCGCCTGTGAATTAATTCATTGGTTATTTAATAACGCTCTTTCAATTGTACTGGAATGGGATGATGATTGGGTGGCCGGTTAGAAGGGATGGAGACGGAAGTGACCGATTCCGTAATTTGTATGGGCGGACTAATACGAACTATAAAAACGCCTCGACTAGGTCAGGACTGAAGATCTACGTTCTATAATTTGCCACTGACCTCAACAATCTAGTTTCAGAGCACACATAACTCATCTTAAAAAGCCCTGATTGATCGCATAGATGAGTTCAATACTATTTATTGTTCTTTCCACCCACCCTCTCTCTTGAGGTGTCTGATTACGTGAAAACACGCAATTCTGGGGTCGACTGCTGCACCCTTCAGAAATGGAGGAGCGAAACGGAATGGCAATCCGCACATTCTTTAACGATGGAAAAGTCTAACAAATTATTTCGTACGCCTTCTTGCATAATTATTAATTGAAAATGTTCTGTGTAGTGGTTATGACGTCTTTTCGATTTTAATACCACACAAAGGCGTTAATTATTGAATTGTAAATAAACATGTTTAAATGCCCTTAATTATTATAGCCTATCTGTAGATCATTATTGTCCTGAAAAATATGAGACAGACAAGGTGCCGCCACTCGGAGAGTCAAATGCTGTTCTATCTGTACGTAAATCAGAAAGCTTAATAACCATTGTGCTGTGCCGTTGTAAGAGTCACATTCAAAGGACAAGTGTCCTGAACAGATAAACAATTTATATGCACGGTTAATGGATAGCAAGTTAGGTCACGCAGATGATGAAGTGCACTCCAGGACTATTGATACTGGAGGATTTATTAATCATACAGTATTAAAATAACGCTCACAGATATGCTGGCGTACGTACCATGAAACTGAAATGAAGTCGAGTTTTGCAGAAGATACTGTCTTTTGGGCATGTGAATACATTGAACACTATAAGTTTTTTTATTATGTCTGGACTCTTACTAAGCTGTGTTCGCCTGGAAATTCTATCTAAATATTATTTATGAATGAAAGGATTTTATATATATGTATAATATTGCTCCTACAGAAACAAAGGTTAAAACGTAAGTGTGTATCGAGATAATTCAGGGCACCCAGATACATAGCTCTCACGTGAAGAATGTTAAAAGCTTACTCACCTGTTCAACTTATTGCACATCCATTACGTCTTCTATACAAAATAAAGCTCTCGAATGCCTACAGCTTTAGTAGTTTCATTAGAAATCCAAGTTTTTTACGGACATTTACACATGTAGTATAACCAGATATGTTCAAACATGTCGTGCTTTGTTCCTAAACACTTTAATACTTGTACGCTTTATCCATTCTCTATCAACACACACTGCAATAAAGTAACATTTTTTGCAGCATTTTGTCGCATGTTACAAGACTACTTCAGAAGCTAATACAACAAATGGCCGAATAAAATCTAATTTTTGATTCTACTTTATAAAAAAACACCTAACAGACGGAGCGGAAAAACACAAAATCTGATCAAAATCAGTCTATAAGTTTCGAGTTATGAGATGACACAGTCCAAAAATTTCTGTTCATTTATCTCAAAAAGCCACAAGATTTGCAGAAAAAAGGGTATTACAAATGAAATGTAAATTATATTCAATTGTACTCTTCAGCTTTTATTCGAAACGTGTCCTTTTGTTAAAAAAACAGGTCTATACACGCCTTTCGTTTTCACGACGACTAAATACAATTGAGTGTACTCTGGTAATCAGCTGTCTCTCTATACAGAAAAACTGCAGCGTGTCGGACAATATCTCTGTCTCCATCAACAACGATGGATGTGAAGTTAGAGTCAAATACAGCCAAAAAACAGTACCCATTAGTCTAGCAGGGCCCTGCCTTCATTGACCATTGAACCAGAATATGAGAGAAGAGTCGATAGGCTGTGTTCAGAAAATGCATTGGGTTCCATGACCACCCCTGTTGAGATGGAGCGTGATATCAATGGCTTCTTTTACCAGATGCTCCAAATAGTCTATTTCTTTCGTCTTTTGAAACTTGATGCGGTTATTCATACCGAAGTCGAATGTCTACTCTTCTAGATGAAAAAGTTCATTGTGTTGCGTATTCTCTTTTGACGTTGTTTCAACCAAGCTTTCCGTTTGCTCGACGTAAACATAATCGAATTGAATATTTAAATTGCTTTCACTATCATCTTATGCAAGATAAATAAACGTACATTTTGACTTAGCAAAAGTGATAGCGTCGGAACTAATAAACATGTCTTATTTTAGTGCCGGTTAAAACATACAGCAGAACAGAGCGGACTTAAATCATCTTAAACCAGACGGATTCTGGTACGATGTTCGGAGAATCATTACCTCTTGCATCAGCTTTGTGCCACGCGTATTCACGTGATAAACCAGGATGTAATTACATCGATACGTTGTATCGTGTGCATCACTTTGCGTTAGTTAATCACTTATCAACTTACTGCCACGTATCTTACTGTTTTCATCACAACCGCTGTTATAACACCTGCCCTCTTGAATAACCTATTCTTTAGCACAACAACTTGTGTAAATAATCCTTCTTTGTAGAAGGAAAATTGTTGGTTGGTCATTTATGTCCGATAATTAACAACAGCATATCAGGTTATCGAGTCAGGCGATAAACCAACTTGTCGCCATTATCACGATTTTGTCCTCCACTAAAGTTCGCCACCTGTCACGGACCACATGCACGTTGTCAGTGTGACGCCTGAGTGTGGTGCAGGAACTCTCTGGATATATTTTGATGATGGAAGAAGTTCATATTACTAAAGAGAACAATTTGTTGAGAGAAAATGATTAGACATCGTCCATATACAATTGATGATGGAATCATAATGTTACAAAATATTATATATTATTGTTAATGATAATCGAATAACATAACTGTGAGAACAATCTGAAACTAATAAATAATAGATAAATAATATTAAAATAGAACCTCAGTGAAAATAATGAACTCAAAAAAACCACAGAAACTTCAATTAACATATTACAAGAGTCAATAATTAAACGCATTTGGACCAAAAGGAAGATTTGAACGAACATAAAACATCTCACGAATTGTATCTACAGAGTTACTGACATTAATTAAAGGTTGTTGGGTCAAATGGCCATACTCTCCTATAGCATGATGCTGATGATAGCAGTACCTTGTTGTGGTAAAAGAGAAGTGCAGATTCCAGCGACAACTGCAGCTAATGTAATAAGTTCATTGAAGAATTATTTTCTCAGTGGATGTGTTTTCCTACTCTCTACCAAACATCAAACGGAAATGAGTAAGTATTCACTCATGAGGTTACTTTTTAGAGACTAGCTGCTTTCTGCTGATATCAAATATGTGTTACAGTGTGACTAGTGCAATTCCTAAATTCAACGGAACGTCTTCCAATTTGTTACATCAACTACATTGTTGTTGTTTACAGATTCAATATATTTTAATTATAACAGTACAACAGAAATTAACACAAAGGTGAGACCGTGATAATACGTATATAGGATGGCCAAGTCGAGTTTTATCGCTTGCATGGAGGAGTTACCAGTACAACACACATACCCAGGCTTTTATATATAAAAAGTTTATTTATAAATTAAAGTAGATGTGTTGCCGCAGTAATAAATACATCATAATTACTCTTCCATATCCTTTATCATAACAATAGTTAATTGAACTGCAATTGGAGTAAGAATTAAAGTTATTGAAAGTAGATGTTTGTCTGAGGTAGGGGAACCACGAGATTTTGGGAGAAATGCCCGAAGTTTCGGTACAACCAGAAAATAAGTTATCATTTCAGGGTCTTAATTCTAAACCAGATCGTAATTCTTCTTTAATTAAATTTTGTAAGAAATATCCATATTGCCTAAAAGTATAAAAAAATCTCATTTAAACAACTTCGATACAGAAAATCTGATTAGAGAAAAAGTTCAGCGATCCTACTAAATCCATTCCGCGTTGAGTACAGTACTGCCAGTATGGACAGTTACAAGTATTAAAAAAACAATATTGTAATTATTTTTCCACTTTCATCGTTTCGTAAGAAAATACATGATCATGATATGAAAACATCTGCCTGTCAGTTCCTACACTTTTTAAACAAATGGTAGTTTCTTAAACTGAGTACATCAATGTGACTAGAAGCCATCACGCTTTTGTATTGATTTTAATTTCCTACCTTTGTGCAGTAGCTTAGAATAAAACCTGCACATTTTTCGTAGTTCCATTACAGCACAAAATTTCAGGGCCGTGCATCAAGCGGAGCTAATTGCAACCGCATCTCGACAAGTTTTACATGGTCGCCACATTTGTATTATCGATAGCAGGAAATCGAAAGATATGAAATAGGATTTGAGGTTCTCGAGGCGGTAAGTACGATGATGGATAATTTATAGGTTGTAGTCTGGTAGAAATTTACAAACGTTTCAGAGGTCCTTGCTGAGTTCATCATCAGGGCTGTGAGTGATGAGTCATCTCCATGATGATGAGACGTTGGTATAATAAACTCCTACCAGTCTAC